CTCCCCACCGTGACAACGAGAACACTTCATCTGTCTACCAACCACAATAGTCCATTCATTCCATATAAATGTAAAGGCCTGACGAGAATTTATCGAAAAATAGTAGAAACCAAAAGCTACTTTTTCGTCGAGCAGAAGTCTTTAAGAACCCGGGATATTCACGCATATAAATACAGGAAAATGTATTTTGCATCTATTCCGAAATTAGGAGAAAACGTCATGCTACTTCAGCAGTCAGTTACTACAGAATTGATTTTTCGCGGGCATCTGGATACAAGTGAAGTAAAACTCAGGCATTCCTTTAAGATAGAAATATCTTAACCTTATTTGGCACGATAATCGATATTAAGGTCAGATTTAGGTTTTATTTTGTTCTAAACCACATTTCAGAAAACGTTCCGTTTATACTTCATACGCAGTTCATTGTATGCGAATGTAGACCGTTCCTAGATAGGAATCGCTTAGGAGTATAATCATCAGGTCTAAAATTCCAGCATCTTTATCTGGCATATTTATCGGATAACACTGAACTCCGATAAGCTCGTTCCAACCCACTCATCCAATGGCGAATATATCTACGAAGTCCTGCAAATAGTTTCTTTTTTGGTATGCAACCCGACAGGTGGATGATGAAAGCTCAGTCCATAGTCAGGTCGCCCAATCAAGCGCCTGGGTAACAACACGGTTGGCAAAAAAAATTGGGAGCAATAGCACGGAGATTCTGCCACGTTGCACGCCACAATATTCGGATTAATGAGTGTATATTTAACATTAAAGTACAATTTTTCAGCTAGTTCGCGGGGCTATAAAACCGAGATGTGGCATCTTCGACATATGTTCGCTAACATAAGTCTTTAATCCAAAGACGATCCGATTAGCCCCAGGGAGTTGACGTCAATGCGAACGTCAGATTCCCCTAATGGACACTGAGGATTGGGACACCCGAGGAGGGGGGAAAGTTCGCCACGAAGGAAGGTGAGGGGGGAGGCGGGTGAATTAACGGCTTTCCCACAAAGTCTGCATACGTCGGAGCAGTCGATTATTTCCGTTTTTTTCTTCTTTCGCAGCGGATGCCGTCTTGATGACAATGTTGCGCGAACATTCACTGAATCCTGTCCACTGCTCACAACCAAGGGCAAAGTGGCCATCGGACTTGTGGTCGCTATTGTAGTCTTCTTGATTCTCATCATCTTTTACTGTCACCAACGCAATAAGAAGTAAGTTCATCAGTTTTACTGGACCGTTTTTGGTTCTCTGAGGTCTGTTTTAGCTAACGAGATTTCGAGCACTTTTGTTCAGACTTCAATCTTTTACAGAGTCTATACGGTAGCGAAAATACGACTGCTATCTCCTGAGACAGTAAGTGCGGTTAACTATCAACGGAAATTTACTGAAATTTAGGGCATGATTGGCAAGTTGCCAACACCTTTCACGTTTTTGAGGTCTTTATGTTTGAAAAGTATGCGTTGGCCTAGCAACTACAGCCATTAACTATTGTAACCCAGCCTTTCGTCTCTGCTGATGAGATCCAGTGTGAGTCCGAAACGTCAGCGGAACAAAATTATTTTTCCAGCGATTTCGTCTCTCCCTTGGCTGTTTCTTTTAATTAGCCAACGTGTCTTCTAACGCCAGTTCCAGGGAGCCGGAGGCCCAGGCAATCATCGCGCCCAATTCCATCACGACTGATGAAAGTTCGGCCGAACGCGATCTACACGACGAACATCACCTGGCCTTATGTGTAACCTCTAAGCAGTTCGGAGGATAATGGCGTGATAATACCTAAAGCAGCTAGGTCAGCAAGCTTCAGTAATGCAGAAGTGTAGACAATTGGACGAAAAGCTTAAGGACCAAAATTAGTTTTTTTGGCCAATAGGAACGATTCTTATTGTAAGCCAATTTTCAAGAGTCTCGGACTCCACGATGGACAAGTGAACAAGGTGTGTCAAAGTAGAGACTATCTAAGAGCACCGATCTATAAGGAGGCAGGGAGAGGCGGCAATAGGTGTATTTTCCTAACGTTTCAAGCATCCATTTGGTGATCGTAGGTCGTCCGTGTGGAGGGAGAAGAGGTGAGGAGATGAGATGATCTAGACCCTTGGAGAATTCCGCAGTTGTTGGGAAGGAACCTAGATTTTCGCTTGTCGCATTAGACAGATTGAGTACGGCCAGTGAAATAGTCCCCAAGCCAAGTCACAGCCCAGCCTGGAGACCCGCATGCAGACGTTTTATTCAGAAGGAGATGGCGTGGGATAATATTGAAGGCGCGCATGCACGTGCGG